AGGGGTGCGAAAGGAGGAGGTTAGGAGAGGATGGACGGGCATCGGGCCGGGGAATAGCTGGGGATTAAAAGGGTCCGTGGTGCTCCCCTTACAGAGGTACTGTAATGGGACACTCAGTCCTGGAGCGGGTTTAGGATAGTCAGAGCCCTCCACGCCCGCTACTAGTTTTAGGCCCTCTCTTCCAGGCACCCCTGAAGTTAGGAAGCAGGAAGTGGTTGCTGACACCACTAGGTTCTCCTAGTATTTATCCATCCACCTGTTCTGTAAATACTAACGGGATGTCTACTGGTGCTTCGTACTATGCTAGGAGTCCAGAAGGTTTGGCTAAAGAGGTAAACAAGGTAGACATGTGCCTGGCTTCAGGATGTTAGAGTCTAGCCCAGGAGAGAGTAGGCAATAGACAATGAGAGTAATACATCCCATGGTAAAGTATAATAGATTCTCTGATGACAACGGCATTGATCTTGGGGGTCGGGCTCCCCAGATTGCATGACCTTTGTGCTGAGACCTGAAGAACGAGTGAGGAGTGCTCTGAGCAGAAAGAACAATATTTAGGGGCCAACGAGGGACAGAGGCTAAGTAAAGGGTAGGCGTGTTGACCTTCCTACCCAGTTCTCGATCTCTTTCCTCTGTCCTGACACAATTGAACATTGGCCTCCTGGCTGTAGTATCTGTACTTGGCTTCCAAGACATCACATTCCTGTGTTACTACTTACCTCTCAGTAGCCTTTGCTGGCTCCCTTTTGATCCCCAACCTCTCTTTTTTTAAAAAATACATTTTTATTTATTTCAGAGATGAAGGGAGAGGGAGAGAGCGATAGAAACATCAGTGATGAGAGAGAATCATTAATTGGCTGCCTCTTGCAGGCCCCCTACTGGGGATCAAGCCCACAACCCAGGCATGTGCCCTGACAGGAATTGAACCCTGACCTCCTGGTTCATAGGTCGACACTCCACCACTGAGCCACACTAGCCAAGTGATTCCCCAACCTCTTATTGAAGTGCCACAGGATTCAGTCTTTGGATATCTTCTCTTCACACACTTCTCTGGTGTTGCCATCAGTTTCATGGTTTAAACACCATCTATTTGGTGACTGCTCTCACCTTTATATTCTAGCCTTGATTTCTCCCATGAAACCTACATTACTCAGTTGCCTATTTGGCATCTCCAGTTTGAAGTCTAATAGACATCTCAAATTTAACATGTCCAAAATAGACCTTCTTGCCCAACTTGCCCCTCCACCATCTTCCTCATCTCAGTTAATAGCACGGTATCTTTCCATTTGTTTGAGACAGAAACCTTGGACTCCTCTCTTTCTCATTCCACATCTGATCTATTGGGAAATCCTGTCGACTCTGCCTTCAAAATACATCCAAAATCAGACCACTTCTCACCACCTTGGAACACCATCCTCTGCAAGCCACCACGATCTCTCTCACCTGGATTATTACAGTAGTCTCCTCATTAATATCCCATACCCCCTACAGTCCACTCTCAGCTCAACAGCTAGAGAATTACAGTGGTTTGCAAAGCCCTATATGATCGGCTTCCATTTCCACTCCGACTTCTACTTTTCCCTTTTCACTCCACCCCTATCAGCTTAAACATGGTAAGTTAGGGCCTTTGCCCTGGTGGCTCCTTCTGTCCTCATACACCTGTAGGCATACTCTCTCCATTCTTCACCTTCTCAGACCTGTCATGCAAAGAGCTGAGATCCGAGGAAAATAACCCAGAAGACAGGCTGTGAAAGACACGGGTTTATTAGGACTTACTGCGCACGGTGGCGGCCCACTGGTGAAGTTTTCCCCAGTACAGGGTTGTATAGAATACAGAGAACAGGGCATGCAGGAGAGACGTGCTCAAGCGCGTGCTCTGTAAGATCAGAACACTAATCGTTTACAATCGGGCTCACATCCAAGATCAGTTTCTGTTTGGCTGTTTCTTGACTGAGGAGCCGTCCAGGCTCCCAAGGTTGCTCCCCGAGTCCGTTTACAGGTGGCCTTCATCATGTTCCCACAGGGTCAGAGTGGGGAGTTGGAGCTTGGGAAGGGGCCCAGGTTCTCACATACCACACACCTTCATTAAAAATTGCAGCACCCCCACCCTGGCCTGGTGGCTCGGTTGGTCGGAGCATAGCATTGTTCCATATACCAAAAGGTTGCAGGTTCGATTCCTAGTCAGGGCACATACCTAAGTTGTGGGTTTGAATCTGGTTGGGCTGGGTACCGGAAGCAACTGATCAATGTTTCTCTCTTGCATTGATGTTTCTCTCTCTCTCCCCCTTGTTTCTTCTCTCTCTAAAATCAATGGAGGGCATGTCCTCCGGTGAGGATTAAAAGGAAAAAAGAGAGAAAATTTCACCACCCCCACCCCTATCTTTACAGTCCCAACCTCTCTGTTCTGCCCTATTGCTTTTTTTCATAGCACTTGTCTTTTAACCTATCATGTTATATTTATTGTCTGTCTTCCCCGACTAGAGTATAAGCTCTATAAGGGCAAAAGATGTTGTTTCTCTTGTTCATTAGTGTAGTTCCAGCACCCAGAACAGTGTATCACGTATACTAGGCACTCAATGTTTGCTGAATGAATAGATTAATGAATGATGGTGACGTGGGTAGGAACCAAATCTGCAAAAGACTTGGAGGCTGTGCCCAGGATTTAAAGCTGCCATAAAGACAATGAGAAGCTATTGGAGACTGTGGAGACCAGTTAGGGGACTGTTTAATTAATCCAGGCAAGAAATGATGCTGATCTAGGCTTAGACGGCTGTGAAGTGTTTGAAATATTCTGTGAGGTAGAATTGAATAGGCTTTAGTCATTGAGTGCTGGGAACGAGGCAGGCCTGCCTCCCAGGTTCCGGCTTAGCATGGGGTGGACGGTGGTGCTATGTACTTAGATATAGAACACAGTGAGTAAGTCGTATAGGCCTAGGAGGAAAAGAGAGTGAGTTTGGTTGATACAGGTGAAGTTTGAAGTTCTTGTGAAGAGCAACTGTACAGGTGGCAGCTGGAGTTATGGTCTGGAGTGAAGGGACATCTACCTCCGAGTATAGGCTTGGGGGTTGTTAGCATGTGGAGACAAAACACCTTCGTCACACCACCACCACCACCATTTAGCTTTTATCACACACTTCCTTTGTTAATAACCTGTTCATATGCAGCATTTCATCCTGGATTGGAGTATGGCATCCCTGACCAGATGCCCAATCAGCTGTAGCCTTCCAATAATCAGTTCTTCAATGGGTTGGTCCATTGAAATCTGAACTACACTGCCTGGCCTCGAGGCCTTCCACAGTCTGGGTTCACTTTACCCATCCGGCCGTATTTCTTGCTGCTGCTTAACAGACAATCTTGTAAAAGCCCTTTGGCCAGTATTGTATTGTAACCAGGTTTGGACCACACTCCAGCTGCACCCGTGTTCCCTATCCAGACTCTAATCATCGTCGGCACTCATCATCTTCTAAATTGCCGATGGTATATACTGTCTCTACCACCCATTTGGCATATGATCAAGCCCATCCATGTGTGTAGACTATGGGTAAAGAATGCACAGTCTAGGCCCAGACTACATGCCATAGGCAAATTACTTATTTAACTTTTCTTGTGCTTTAGTGTTCCCATCTGAAACTGGGTATACTAATAAGACCTACTTCTTGGGGTTGTGAGTATTATGTACAGTATTTATTTTATTTTTTATTTTAATATATTTTTATTGATTTCAGAGAGGAGAGGAAAGCAAAAGAGACAGAAACATCAATGATGAGAGAAAATCACCGATCGGCTGCCTCCTGCGCTCCCCACTGGGATTGAGCCCACAACCCGGGCATGTGCCCCGGACGGGAATCGAACCCGGGACCCTTCAGTCTGTAGGCCGACGCTCTATCCACTGAGCCAAACCAGCCAGGGCAATGTACAGTATTTAGAACAGTTCCTGCTACATGACTGAGTATTTTGTGTTAACTATGATATATTGGCATCACTGTCATTGGTTCACATATGTACATTTTGTTTCTCAGGCAGGATTGTAAGCCCCTGGTACAGGAAGGTAGTGTGTGCACCACTGTTTCACTGCACACATCCATCTGTCACAAGCACACGTGAGGCTTACACTGCCCATGGTGGTTAAAGTTAAATTGACCTCTAAATCCCTCACCCACCGCTTGCCTTTCTCATCCATTTCATCTCCCCTCTTCTAGGTCCAGGAGTGCCGCAAGATGGATCAGATGACGAGGACGAAGAGTGGCCCACCCTGGAGAAGGCTGCCACAATGACAGGGGCCGGCCAGCATGCAGAGGTGGTTGTGGACCCTGAGGATGAGCGTGC